AAATACACCGGAAATGCCAACCCAATTTTCTCATCAAGATAATAAAATATCGTGATCGACTGTGTCGAATGCAGCACTAAAGTCAAGTAGAAGTAATATTGACATTTTATTAGGGTCAGTGTTTAGATGGAGGTCATTGAATATTTTTACAACAGCAGTTTCAGTTGACAGAAGCCTGATTGATGAACATCAAAACAGTTCAGGGATAGAAAGCCATTTATCTGTTTAGAAACTATTTTTTCTAATATTTTAACTAAAAAAGGAAAGTTTGATATTGGTCAATAATTGCTTAGAATTGATGAATCCAGATTCTGTTTTTTGAGAAAGTGGTTTAACTACCACAGTCTTTAAAGCCTGAGGGAAAACTCCAGAGAGAGAATTATTAATTATTTGGAGAAGATCAGGAGCAAAAACATCTGAGACCTTTAAGAATAAACTCGTAGGTATGATGTCAAGGGAACAGGTGGATGAATTCATGATGTAAAGTGTAACTCTAATGTTTTTGAGTGACCAGGTTAAAGTGGGTCATTATAGGTAAGTCCTGTTTGGTGGAAAACAGTTAATTGTTTCCTAACAACAGACGCAGAGGAGTTTATGGTCTCACTTATTTTCACCATTTTATTTACAAAATAGGTGGCAAGTTTGCCACAGACCTCAGAGGAGAAAAATTCATGATTAACAGAAGAAGGTGGATTATCAATCTTTCAACAATTGAGAACAGAGCATGAGAGTTGTTGATAGAGGTAGAAATGACATTTGAGAGAAAACTCTCTTGCAGTTCTCAGTTCAGAATAAATGTTTTTGAGTTTCTCTTTGTAAATATCTAAATGGGTTTGCAGTTTAGTTTTACACCACTGATGTTCTGCTTTCCTGAATTCTTTCTTCCCTTTTTGAACCGACTCTAAATCTCTCCAAGGTGGTTCATCTTTCCCAGAGATTACTTTTGTAGTAACAGGAGCAATGGTGTCAATAACCTTCTCAATTTTAAACATAAAGTTGACAATTAGATCACTCAGAAGTACAGGAGTTTATAGCAGATGAAGGAAAAGCCTGAATAAATTGATCAGCTAGTTTAATGCATCTTTTTGAAATGACTTGTTTATAGTTGTTTTTGAGCAGGGAGAAAACTGTCCCAAAAATACAAAAGTGATCTGAAAGTGTTACATCAAGGACTGAAATTTAGATATAATGACTCTTTTAGAAATAATAAGGACCAGAGTGAGTCCATGATTATGTTTGGGTTCCAGGACATGTTGGAGCAGTCTGTAGTTATTCAGGATCTGATGTAGCTCTTTACTATTTTGATCCAATGGATCGTCGATATGAAAGTTAAAATCACCAACAATAAGAACAAAATTAAAATCAAGCAAAATTACAGACAATAATTCAGTGAAATCATCAAAGAAATTTGGAGAAAATATTCCCCATCATTTGAACTCAAAGTTTAATCTCTCTTCCTTTTAATCTACAGGATTATTAGATTACTGATGAACTGGAATCAAACAACATGATGAGCAGCTGATGTTTCTTTGTTTTCTTCTCTGAACTGATTCAGATTTTTATCTGGTATCAAATTCTTTTCTCCACCTTTAAAGTCAGAATCAACAGTTTCCTGCTGCTCCCTTTCAAAATAAAACAAATATTGTTAAAATGTGTTTGATTCAGTCAGATTATTAAATAGTTAATCTTCTCCACTTGTAGAGTTTAATGATTGTGAACTAAAATATTTCCTGTTGTTCAGGTTGAATCAGTGAATGTAAATGTTGCTCCATGTCTCCATCTAGTGGACTGATAGTAGAAGTGCAGCAGCTGATGGCAGCTTCCTCTGTTAATCTTTTTTAGCTGTTGTTGCCAGCAGCAACATGGCTCAGTTTAATGTCTGAACCATGTTGGAGAAAGAAGAGAGGAAAATATTCTGCTTCTCTGACCTAAAGAACAGGCCTTCTGATGGTTGTCATTTTATTATCAATTTGCTCATAAAAAGTTCATATTTTAGTAAAGACCGTCACCGGTTCTGTAAGAAGGAACGGACCAGAACTCCAGCAATGTATCATGAGAACCTTGTGGAAGGAAACCAGAACATTTGACCCAAATTAGACTGAAGGAGATTCTGACCAAACCTGAGGAGATGGAAGCAAACTTCTGAATATTAAGTTATGAAACTGTCTCCAATATATATTTATATAATTATTGTCTTATTTCTGAATCATGGTTCATTTCACATTCCTGGGTAAAAGTTACTCAAAACATCAAAATGTAGAAATAATATAAATTATAATTTACTAGAAGTTACCTGATGAAAACCACAAGGGTCAGAACTGGATCCTAAACTTTATTACTTTACATAAATGATTTATGCAATGAATCTAATTTGTTAACATTTACTTTATTTGCTGATTCATTATTTTGATCTGGTCAGTTTGGAGCAGCAACAGTTTATGGAAGGAGAATTACAAATATTAATGATGTGACAAAAATAGATTAACACTAAATGGAAACATTTTAATGTAGTAACAAGAAAATAAATAAATGAAAGTGCAAACTTTAAAATGTTCTGATTTAGTAGAGATCAGAACAACATTGATTATTTACAAAGTCTATAATAAACTTTCATGGTGTAAAGAAACATTGTTAGAAATGATAGAAACTATAAACTAATAGAAAATGATTATTTAGGATGAATATTAAAACAATTGTAGTTCAGTTAGAGGGATTTCTAGTTTGCAATAATTTAGTGAGGAGATAAAAGTGTTTTTCTCTCTTTAAAATATTTGCTAAACAAATAAAATCAGGTTTATGATGCTTTTTAGTTTCTCTACAAACTTAGCTGAAAATCCTTGAAGATGTTTTAGAAAAATAAACAGGAAATATTTTGCTGCTTTGATTTGGATGATTTATGTAGAAAAGAGTGAAAGTTTGAAAAGTTTGTTTTTCTATCTGAACTTTTTTCAGTCTACACTCTGTATTCTTGCCATTAACAGTAATTTGAACTATTTCTATAATAAAATTGCCCCTCCCTCTGCTTTTTGGACAGCTGGCTAAAAACCCTTGATCCACCGACTCTCTTTTTAATTTCTGCTGCTCCAAGTCGTTCAGATGAGTCTCTTGCAATAGAGATATTGAACTTTAAGCCATTTTAATTCAGCTAATATTTCTTCCTCTTTATCGGATGACCCAGTCCTCTCACATGATAACACACAATATTTAAATCACTCATAATACATAGTTGTTTAATCATGTCAACCTCGACCTCTACTTTTTGACCCTTTGACCTTAATTCTGGATGTTGCTCTGATGTGTTTCTGCCTCCTGTTGGTCACTCAGTGTGGCCACAAACATGTCAAGGAACAAGAACATAGTAACACAGAAATAGTTTGAACACATGAAGCCCCAAGGACTCCCATAAACCCGCCTGGTTCTATTAAGACCACATATAATCTGTGGTGGCCTCCTGACCAGCCCCCGATGTAACCAAGGCAGAGCGCCGTGTGCCCGTAGTCGCTCTGGGGAAAAAGCACTAAGTGCTTCCAGATCACAAAGAACAGCAATAATTCCCTGCTGAGATCTCCACCCAATTGGGAGAACGATAGTAACCAGTGGAGAGTTCTTGCCTGTGCATCCACAAGAGGTTTTCTGCTTACAATCCTACTGTTTTATATGAGGTAAAATACCAAGTGGTATTTATACCTCCAGTCACACTCACATACACACACTTTTTATTTTTAGTCACGGAATTTAAGCGACCGTTATCGCTGGACTCCGCCGTCTGTCTAACACACACTTTTTTTTTTGTTTCACGGATTTGAAGCGCCTGTTATCGCCGTCCGTTTAACCACGGGTATTTGTCGGGCCCCGTTTGCCACAACAGGTGAGGTTTGCCAGACCTCTTTATATTTTTCATTTTATTATTTTTTTTATCACGGAATTTATGCGCCTGTTTCGCTGGACTCCACCGTCCGTTTAACCACGGGTATTAGCCAGGCCCCGTCGCCCACAACAGGTGAGGGTTGTAAGTCCTCTTTATCTTTTATTTTGTCTTTTTATATATTTTTTTGTCTTTTATATTTTATATCGTGGAATTCAAGCCCCTGTTTTCACCGGACCCCACGTGTCCATTTAGCCTGCAGGTACTAGTTGAGCTGCTGTTACTGCTCACAATAGTACAATTGTTATTTGAGTTGCTGTTATTGCCCAGAACAGTGCTGGTATTAGTTATTTGAGCTGCTATTATCCAGAATAGTTCTAGTATTAGTTGGGCTGTTGTTATTGCCCACAATAGAACAATTGCTGGTTGCCCAGAACAGGACAAGGCCTCCAGCCTTGCAGCACCAGGCTCCGTCAGCCTATCCACGGATTTTGTGCTCTACTTTCACCTGTTAGAGTCTAGAATTGACAGGGTTTTCACTTGTGCGCGCAACAACCTTCAGTCAAAGAAGAAGTCACTCTTCTCTGACACAGAAGAATGACTTACTCTCTAAAACGTCATTCGCCACTTTTTAAAGAAGAATCACTCACCCTCTCTTGTCTTTCCCTGGAGTGTCGTCAACCTTCAGATCCCAGCAGGCAGGCCGAGCCCAGTCCTTTAACAGGTTCTCTTGCCGTGCGCACGGTCTTACTGGGGTCCGCCATACCTGCCGGAATCTGTCCGGTATATTGACATCCGGCTCGAAGGACCAAAATTATGATAGGGTTAAACACCTATAAACACAAATTAACAAAGACAGGAAAGACAAAATAGTTAGATTCTTGCTATTCGCGAGGAGAACAGACAGAGATGTGCTTCAGTTACAATATTCTACCGCTCTGAAGCATATTTTGTCTGCTCCTCTATTTTATTGTTTCTAGGATCCCTAATCTCAAGGACGCTGTAGCTCTAAAGGGAGGGGAAAACAACTCATCACACAGCTACAGCATCAAATGTTATTCACTAACTAACACACAGATTATTCTGGACTAGATAATCTCCTTCCAGGCACAAAGATTAATAAAATATGTAGTGATCTTAGCAATGATAGTTTTATTAGAGGCCAGCAACTCAACCGAAGCAGAGCTCTTCACCAAGAGGTAAACCTGCAGGAAGATTTTGTTTTTGCTCTGTCAGTGAGGCCTTCTGAGAAAGGAATCAGAGTAAATCAACAATACAAGAGACATTCTTAATTCTATAATGAGATTAACTTAAAGGAAAGCATAAAATAAAGATACATTATAAAGATCAATGAGAATAACAAATAATTGATTAATAATATCACAATTTCTCCAACAGCAGCAAATGAAGAAAATGTATTTATTGTTCAATAAAACATACGAAGTAGAACTGCAGTAAATATATATATAAAAAATTTTAATCCAAGATGAATTTAATAATATAGGAGATAACAGAAACAATAAATATCCAGTAATTGAGAAAAACTGCAGTAAATTCAAAGAATCTGATGATAAATGAAAGGAAAAAAAAGAGAGAAACAAAACATCCTGAGATTAATTGTGAATCTTTGACTGGAAACAGAAAAAATAACATGATGATCCAGTTATAATCCTGGAATAATCCTGGAATATTCCCAGGGTTGTTTAGAAAAGTTTAACGAAGAAACAGTTTAGATCCATGAAAATATGTAGAGACTGAACTATCTGTTCAACAGTGAGAGAGTTTCTCTGACAGGAGGAAAAACTTTAGACTCTTTAGACTCAAATCAGCTCAGAAACACTGAGGAACCAGAACTGGACCAGAATCTAAATCCAGGAATCAGAGGTTCAGTGAATGTGGTGTTGAAGGTGTGGAGGAGGATCAGTGAGTCAGAGGAGACTCTGTAGAAGGACAGAATGCCAGCAGGACAGTCCACATACACTGCTACTCTGTGAGAGACAGAGGAGGAGGAGAGACGAGTTTTTCTTTTATTGTGACTGACAGAGTAACCATCATCAGAGCATCTCAGCCTCCAGGAATGATCATTCCATCCAAACAAACAGTCTCTACTGTTTCCTTTCCTCCTGATTCTTCTGTAACTCACTGATATATAAACTTTTCCTCTCCACTCGACCTCCCAGTAACAGCGACCAGTCAGTCCAGTTCTACACAGCAGCTGAGGCCAGTAACCAAATCTGTCTGGATGATCAGGATATGACTGAAGCTCCTCCACATGTGTCACCTTCCTGTTGTCTTCAGACAGTTTGAGGTTTCTGTTCACTGTGTTTGTGTCGATGGTGAGTTGACAGGAATCTGATGGAGAGAACAAACACAATCCAGCTGCAGTTATTGATCATTTATTGACACTTTGACTCCTGAATGAGTGATGTGACAGTTTGAAGATGGTTGAATGTGAGCTGCTTTGTTGTCATGAATCAGATGAAAAACACACTTACATTTCCTCAGACCTGGAGTCAAGAATTGGCCTCCAGCAGGCTCCACCCTGAAAGGAGGAGGGGGGTCAGACCATCAGTCTCTTTCAGCAGCAAACATGGACATTACATGTCTCTCAGACACACATTGTCCTCCACTGAGACAGGAACAGTCCAACATCTGGATTGCAAACTGCAGTGGATGTAGGAAGGACAGTTGGTGCTGCTGCAGCACAACTCATTTCTCCAAACACAGGAAAAGCTCCAACAGAGAGGAGAAAGGAAATCCCTCAGTAACAACCTGAAGAAACTCACTGAAGCCTAAAAGGACATCAGGAAACTAAGGAAACATTTCTGGAAGCTCAACCTGGTTTAATAATCAGCATTAAAATACAATCAATCTAAACTCTGATCAACACCTGGATACCTGATCCATCCACACTCCCACACACAGATGAAGGAATGAAACACTAAACAGCCCTGCTGATGAAAACCTGCTGTGGCCTCACTGTAATGTTTCCAGAAATACAAACATTAAAAAGAGAGCTGCATCACATTCAACAAAGATTCAACAAGAATCAAAGATTTGATCTCTGAGCTCAGACTCACAAACCAGGGAGAGGCTTCCATCATCACACACCTCTGACAAACACCTCCAACCTTTCAGCACTTCCTCTACCAACCAGCACCACCAGGTGGCGCTCGACACATTTACAATGAGCCCAAGAATAATAAGCAGCATGCTGAATCCAGCAGCTGCAGTAATGGGCTTGTGAAAGTGTCCAAGGAGCATCTGGAACCACAACCACAGATCCAACAGTCCAGAGAGTCTTTGTTTGCATCTTTCCTCTCAGATTTCCAAGCTGCTCTGAGAGGGAAATGACATCATCACTTTACTGATGATATCACGCTCTGATGTCACTGATCAGGAGGTGCTGGACTTCTACATTTCCAGCACAGAGGTCAGAGAAGTTCTCAGCTCTGATGAGGAGCTGGCCTGCCTTCACACTGATTGAGGGTCAAAGAAATATTTCCAGATGAAGTCAGACTAAATGTTGGATTGTCCTGCTGTTGCAATCAGAGGCCAAGAAGAAGCTTCAAGTTTCTTCCTGTTCAGCTCCACGTTCCTGTCAGAGACTTCAGCTCCTCATGAGGAGAACAACTAAGCCTGGAACAGACTGACACCAACATCCTGACATCTCATCCCTGAACAAAGCTTTGCAGCATCAAGTGACTCTTAGCACATATATGGACAGATTTCCTCTAAAGGGGGCGGAGCCTGGATTGAGGAACCAGCAGCAGCTTCCAGGAACAAACCTTGGGAAAACCAGCACTGACTAAAGACATTTCTCCCTCTTCCTCCTCTATCAGACCTTCTCTGCTCCTGCAGCAGGTTCCTCCATACCTGAGAGCTTCCAGTCTCCAGTGTGGATCCTTCAGTCCAGCGACAGCAGCTTCACTCCTGAGTCTCCTGGATGATTGTAGCTCAGGTCCACTCTTTCAGATGGGAGGGGTTGGAGGTCAGAGCTGAGGCCAGAGAAGCACAGCCTTCCTCTGAGACCAAACAGCCTGATAAGCTGCAGACACACAATTCATCACATGATGAGAAAATGAGAACATTGAGGTAGAGACCAAGGTCTGAACGGATGGATGGATGGATGGACGGACGGACGGGCGGGTGGGCGGGTGGATGGATGGATGGATGGATGGATGGATTTAAACATGTGGAATAAATAAGAAAGCCAAGCAACTTCTGGTATCTGTAATTATGCTCCTTTTGCACCTTAGATGCAACAATTTGTCAAGGGCCCAGAGTTACCTGAGAGCTTCCAGGTTGCAGTTTGGACTCTTCAGTCCAGCAGAGAGAAGCTTCACTCCTGAATCCTGCAGTTGTTGTTACTCAGGTCCAGTTCTCTGAGACTGGAGGACTGGGAGCTGAGAACTGAGGACAGAGCTTCACAGCTTCTCTCTGAGAGGTTACAGCCACTCAGTCTGAGAAGACGGGAAGGAAAATCTGTTAAACAATTCATAAAAATATATGTTCATTCAAATCAACAATGTTTTTATTGGAGAGAGAAAGAACTATGTTATTTTACACAACCTTTCCATTTGTTGTCAATTCTATAGTTTTTCTACCTCCAGCCTAAAAGGACTGAACTACAGGTAACAAAGAGGTTGGAAAGCATTATGCATTTCCACAATTAACTTTATTAATCCAATTTAAATTTTAACAGTGGAGGAGTTATGCTGCTTTGATATGTAACACTCTTCCAGGTGCTGAAGGAAGTCTGTTTCCTTTTTGCGTAACCCCCCAATGGGACAATTTGAAAAGACAATGCACCAATATATAAACTGAAACATGAAAGTATGTTCATGTCATCATCAGCAGATTTCTCTCTCTCAAAATAAATGCATTAACAATCTGTGTCCTTACAGAGCTTTGTTGGAGGCTTTAACCACTGGCAGCAGCCTCAGAAGAACCTTCTCTGAAGCAGAGTATTTCTTCAGGTCAAACACATCAAGATCTTTTTCTGATGACACTAAGATGAAACCCAGAGCTGACCACTGAGCAGGAGACAGTTTTATCTGTGGAGAGACTTCCTGAACTCAGAGACTGTTGGATCTCCTCCACTAGAGAACGATCATTCAGTTCATTCAGACAGTGGAACAGATTGATGCTTTTCTCTGCAGACACGTTCTTATTGATCTTCTTCTTGATGTACTGAACTGTTTCCTGATTGGTCTGTGAGCTACTTCCTGTCTTTGTCAGCAGACCTTGTAGGAGTCTCTGATTGGTCTGCAGTGAAAGTCCCAGGAGGAACCGGAGGAACAAGTCCAGGTGTCCATTTGGACTCTGTAAGGCCTGGTCAACAGCTCTCTGATGGAGAGACTTTAGTTTAGGTTTATTAAATAATGAAGATTTCTTAGATCTTTGTGTTTCTTCCATCAGGTTGACACCAGAGTTTATGAAGGTCAGATGAACATGAAGAGCAGCCAGAAACTCCTGAACACTCAGATGGACGAAGCAGAACACCCTGTCCTGGTACAGACCTCTCTCCTCTTTAAAGATCTGTGTGAACACTCCTGAGTACACTGAGGCTGCTCTGATATCGATGCCACACTCTGTCAGGTCTGATTCATAGAAGATCAGGTTTCCTTTCTGCAGCTGATCAAAAGCCAGTTTTCCCAGAGACTCAATCATCTTCCTGCTCTCTGGACTCCAGTGTGGATCTGTTTCAGCTCCTCCATCATACTTGACCTTCTTCACTTTGGTCTGAACCACCAGGAAGTGGATGGACATCTCAGTCAGGGTTCTGGGCAGCTCTCCTCCCTCTCTGGTCTCCAACACATCCTCCAGAACTGTAGCAGTGATCCAGCAGAAGACTGGGATGTGGCACATGATGTGGAGGCTTCGTGATGTCTTTATGTGGGAGATGATCCTGCTGGCCTGTTCCTTATCTCTGAATCTCTTCCTGAAGTACTCCTCCTTCTGAGGGTCATTGAACCCTCTGACCTCTGTCACCATGTCAACACACTGAGGAGGGATCTGATTGGCTGCTGCAGGTCGTGTGGTTATCCAGAGGAGAGCAGAGGGAAGCAGTTTCCCCTGATGAGGTTTGTCAGCAGAACGTCCACTGAGGTGGACTTTGTAGCATCAGTCAGGATCTCCTTGTTGTGGAAGTCCAGTGGAAGTCGACTTTCATCCAAGCCATCAAAGATGAACAGAACCTGGAAGTGTTCAAAGCTGCAGATTTCTTTGGTTTCACTAAAGAAATAATGAACAAGTTCCACCAAGCTGAACTTTTTCTCTTTCAGCACATTCAGCTCTCTGAAGGTGAATGGAAATATGAACTGGATGTTCTGGTGGGCTTTGTCTTCAGCCCAGTCCAGAGTGAACTTCTGTGTTAGGACTGTTTTCCCAATGCCAGCCACTCCCTTTGTCATCACTGTCCTGATTGGTTGATCTCTTCCAGGTGGGACTTTAAAGATGTCTTCTTGTCTGATTGTTTTTCAATCTGTCTGACCTCATGTTCATCATTGACCTCTCCAGTCCCTCCCTCTGTGATGTAGAGCTCTGTGTAGATCTGGTTCAGAAGGGTTGGACTTCCTGCTTTAGCAATTCCTCAAACACAGACTGGAACTTCTTCTTCAGACCAGATTTAAGTTTATGTTGACAAACTGCAGCAAAATGTCCTAAATTAACACAATAATGAAAATCAGACATGAAAGAAAATTCATCTTTTGAATTTGATTACATCACTTCAGCAAATGTGTAATTTAACTATCATTTCAAATCTCTTTAGAAATCCTCTTACTGATCTGCAGACGGTCAGCCAGCTTTTCCTGCTTCATCCTCCTCAGGAAGTTCAGTGTGATCTTCATCACTGCCTCTCTGCTGCTCCTCCTCTGCTCTTCATCATCACCTTCCAACACCTCATCATCTCTCTGACTCTCTGAATATTCTGGGTAATCTGGACTCAGAACTTTCTGGATCTTCTTCAGTTCTTTTTTCACAAAAGTAACAATGTTGTCCTCCAGCAGCTGGAACAGAATAATAGATGAAGGAAACATCAGAGTGAAATCATGGAGCCAAACACCAGATGGATGTTGGACAGACTGACAGTCCTCTGGTCTACAAAGTGCAGCATGAAGGTGACTTTGAACAGAACTCATGGAAAAGTAGTTGTTGTTCATATACGGACCATAAATATGGAGTCCAGCTGTGTTTGATGCTGCTGGACAGATGGACCACTGGGAACCTTTGAGCTCTGCTGGTCCACTCTGTGGAGGAACCAGGAACAATTAGGAAGTCATGAAATATACATCTGGATGTGAGCAATGAACCAGATGATCTAAGTAGTTGTAAAGATTTAATGTTCCTGCTGATCCCACTAAGAACCAGCAGAACCTCTGATGGTCCACATCAGCTCAGTTTGGTTGAGTTCCAGCAGATCTCACCAACCACATCATGAAGCTTTCCTTCCCTGCTGAACTGCTCTCACAATGCACACAGGAACCAAGTCCTGATGGACCAGAATGGCTTTAGCAGGTATTTCCCAGTGGAAATGTGATCCACTGTTAGTCCGACATGGAGCCAGGAAGCAACAGAACATCATCATCAACATCCAGAGATAAAGATATGAAGGTGTTTCCATGAGAACAGAGCAGCTGATTTCTGTAGATAATGGATCAAACCTCTGGAAATATAACTGGAAACATCTGAGTTCTTACTGGTTCAGTTTCCAGAGTTACAGCAATTAGATACAGCTCACCTCTCTGATGATGGAGATCTAGGAGATTTAAAGTCAGTGAGATCTTCCTTTGACCTGTTGATCTTATGGGAAACATAGCTGGGTTCGAGTTCTGGTTCTGATTTGAGTCTCTGATGGATCCTGAAAGAAAAACTTTAATTAGAAACTGTCCGTTATTTCCTATCAAGATATTTTTATTTGTAACTGTAAAATAAAATCAGAACCAGACAGATCATCAACCTGATGTTCTAAATGATTCCTATCAGAACCGTTCCAATCCTCCAATATGTTCCTGATCATTGATCCTCCTGAATAATGTCCAGCCTTCTTTCAAGAGCAGAAAGATTTGTTTCTGAGACCAACATGTTGGTTTGAAATGACTGAGAAAACAGTTTGGTGATCTTAGTGTTGAGCTCTGACATGGAGCAGAACCAGGAATCATTTCCACTCTGACCATCCAAGGAGGATCTGATGGAGCTTCAATCAGAACCAGATGGTCCGTTAGAGACACTGAAGCCCACTGCTCAATCAGATCCACTAAATATTTAGTTTAACTGTAGAAATGGTTGATAATCTGCCATGTTGGATGATGTTTGAACTTCAGAGGTGGAATCATAAAATAATTCATAGAAAAAGTTTTATTTCAGAATGAATCTGTCTTTTGTCAGATTTTAGAGAAAGATGCAAATATCAACCTAGAAATAAAATTCACTTCTGTCTATTTGTTCTTGTGTTAATATTAATATCAGACTAAATAAATGAGTTTCATTTGGAAAAATTAGGCTTAAACAAACCAGAATAAAACACAGTTAAAAGTTTCTGGTCCAAATGTCATGTCAACATAATAGTTTATAAGAGTGAGTCCTGACTGAGGATTTATAAGATTCTTTCTGTATGGAGTCAATAACTGTCCAATGAATGGTGGTTAAATTGATGTCAGGTAAACATCAGATCAGATTTAGAGATTCTGTTAACTAGTGAAGCTCTGGGTAGAGACTGTGGATCCAAACGGACCTGTTTGATTTTTATACAAAGGATCCAGTTGAACTTTATTGTGTTCATAGTAACATGTTCATTATTGGTACATGTTTCATGGAGACATCATACGTATTACATCTTTGACGTATGAAAAGAAAAATAACCTGAAATTCAGTCCAATGTTTTCATGACAACAGAACCCAACAGAACTTATCATCACATGGCCACAATAACAGATATAAACAGAAGTTACAGCAGTTAGAAACAGCTCACCTCTCTGATGGTGGAGATCCAGCAAATTTAAAGTGAAGAGGAAGATCCTTTGACCTGTTGCTCTTAAAGGACACACAGCTGGGTTCTGGTTCTGGTTCTGGTTCTGGTTTGCGTTTCTGATGGATCCTGACAGAAACATGATGATTAAAACTTAATCAGCAAAGAGGAGCAGCAGCAGCTTCATCACCACGTCTGTTCTGGCCTGATATAGTGAACGCTGTGTGAAAAGGGCTGTGGACAGTTAGAGATGGTGACCTCACCTCTGACCTTTGCTCTGGCTCTCATCTTCCCCACACAGAGTGGTTTTAGAGGGAGGGACTCCCTCCTCTCTGTCCTCACACTGATCCATGCTGCTGAATCCACATCAGCTCACACACACTTTCTAGCTTCACCTGCAGAGGAAACACATCATTCATCTGCACATCAACTCTGATCATCCTTTACATCATTAGTGCTGGAAAAAGATCAGCTGCTCCTCCTCTGATTGGCTCTTCTTCTCTGCTTCATATCAGTGTCAGGTGAATGCAGTCAGACAGCAGAGAGGCAGAGGAAGCTGCCATCAGCTGCTGCACTTCTACTATCAGTCCACTAGATGGAGACATGGAGCAACATTTACATTCACTGATTCAACCTGAACAGGAAGGATTTTAGTTCATTAAATTCTACAAGTGGATCATCTGCTCCATCAAATATTAACTATTTAATAATTCGACGAAATTTAACATATTTCAAAAGTACTGTTTTATAATAAATGATAATAATAATAATATACATTAACATTTTAGATTTAACAAGACGCTGTTGTTTCTGAGTTTAACTGTAGAGACTGGAGTTCATTACCAGGAAATAAAAACATGAATCAGTTCGGAGAAGAAAATAGTGAAACATCAGCTGTTCATCGTGTTGATTGGTTCCACTTCATCAGTAAAATAATAATCCTTCAATAATCCTGTAGATTAGCCTTCAAACATCAAATATTAAAGTTTCATATGAAATCAGAAGTGAAACTTTCCTCCAAACGTCAGAGATTAGAAACAATCAGGAAAAGTTAAAGTGATTTTAAAAATTCAAGAAATAAACAAATTAAACTTACAACTTGTTCAAACCATCCAAGGAGTTAAAGAAGAAATTTAAACAACAGCCTGAGACCAAACTAACGGTCTGGCGCCTCATGCAACAAGTGAATTCAAACCGAAAGTAAATGTGACGGATGTTGCGTAAATGATGAGTCCAGTTTTTCCCAGTTCAGAGCAACAGAAGCAGGAAGTAGAAGCTCTGCGGTGAAATCAGAGGCAGGTTGATAAATCATCATGAGGGAGGAGAGAAGTGCTGATAAAAATTAGGGTGTACTTCATTTTTATCAGAAATGAAGTACATTTCATTTCTGATAAAAATGAAATGTAATTCAGTAATTGAAAAATCTGTTATTAAACAATTCTTCAAGCTGTATGTCTTTTTTCCCTGTCAACAATGTTTTCTTAGACAAAGAAGGAACTATCTAGAATTTCTATCTGTCAGAATTAAAGCAATAACAATCTTTGTCCTTACAGAGTTTTGTTGGAGGCTTAAACCACTGGCAGCAGATTCTCGCCTTCACCGGTAGGAGGCGGAAGTGCTTCTTGACGTCGCTGCTGAATTTAAGGAGAAGAAGAAGAAGCAGCAGCTTTCTCATCAGACTGAGCTGGAGAGTCGAGAAGTCTCCTGCTTTCTTCCTCCGAGGTCAGTTTATCTGTTTTTCATGCATTCATGTCGGATTTTATCTCTATTTTTAATTTTCTTACAGTTGTACAAAGTTATCGGTAACTTTATCTCGTTTCCGGGCTCAGTTTGGAGGTATTTTATTAGCTAAAATGCTAATGTGTGGACAGAGATTTGACCTACTTTAAACGGTGAAGGAAAGTTTATTTTATGTCAACAAACGCTTATTATTGTACTAAAGTGGCTGTTTTTTAAATTTTACTGTTTTATTAAGCTCCCATATAAGGTCGCGTCGTGTTTATGGGAATCCTGAGTTTAGAGTAAAACACTTTTTATTGCTTTTTGTTCGATATTTTACTATTATCTCTGTGTAATTAGGATGCTTTTATCTACTCGAGATAGGTCAAAGTTCATCTCACTAACCTAAAACCTTTAACTAGTTTTATGAAGAAATTATCCTAAATCTACGTCGGGTGTGTTATAACAATATTTCGCAATATTCCTCCTTTTTAAATTGCAGCATTTTTGTTTGTGTCTCTTCAATAATTTTGTTTTTTCTTTAAGCATCATTTGACAAAACTATATTATAATGTATAATAATTTAATAACAATCAAGTTTTTCTATAAAATCAATTATTTCATTATTATTAAAAGAACATTTTAGAGCTGATGTGACCTCAGGATTATTATTCTTTCTCGTTCTTCTGTTTCATCCTGGTTCTTTCATGCATGCTTGCCCAGTTTTCCCAGTGAGTGGGCAGCAAAAACTCACTTCCACTCACTTCCTGCTTGAAGCTCGGCTGATCCAGCTTTGCATTATGGGTAGAAAAGTGGATCTAAATGCAGTTTTTATCCTGCCCTGGTTGGATCTTGGTATTCTTCTTCTTCGGTTTAGTTTGCTGGTAGTTTTGACGATGCAGACGCCGGCCCAGTCGGTCCTCCACAGCGGGTATTTCCACCCGACGCTGCGCTACTGGCAGAGCTGCGCCGCTGACCTCAGACCGGACAACCTCATCTACCCCATCTTCATCACGTCGGTGGAGCTGCTCCTCGTTTTCTGAAACAAACCGGGTTGATCCTGCTGTTTGGAAGAGTTTGACGTTCAGTTTGTTCCGTTTGCTTGTCCTGCAGAGACAGTCCGGACGCGGTGGAGCCGATCGGGAGCCTGCCGGGTCAGGCCAGGTGAGTCTCACCTGGGAGTTCGGCCCCAGAGGAAAGCCAGGGGCCGAACTGTCGAGGGCCGACGTGGGTGTTGTCGTCAGATAAACGCTGCTGGGAGGGAAGAGTGAGAATCTGGACTGAGATAAGCAGAGAGGCGGTTAGACGGCCGACCAGCTGATCTCAGATCAGTTAGGAGGAACTCAGAGGTTGAAACCTGTTTTATTTCAAACGGAGGCCGTTCTCTACAGTAATGGGTTTATTTTTCATTCAGCTTTGTTCAGAAATGTTTTTAATACATTTTATTAATTCACTGAGATTTATTTTTTAGCTTATTCAGCTATTTTTTAATATTATATACATTAAATTTTTTAATTATTTTTGTAGCTTTTTAAATTATATTTCTCATAAACTTTTTACTTATTTTATTTGTTTTATTTTTGACTAAGAAAAATAAAATGTTTTATTTTTTTTATTTATTCATTAATTGTATTTAGTATGTCATGCAGTCTTAGTTTCATAAATTTAGATTTATTTGTTTATTTAAAAATCTTTAGTTTATTTATTGATGATTGATTTATTAATTTTACTTAATCTTTAAAACTTGTTTTTAAATTTATCAAAATATTTTAGTAATTCATTTCATATTTTATACATTTATTTTTTAGTGTTTTTATTATTATTTTGCGTTTTAGTAAGTAATCAATAATACATATTTTCTGTTTTATATAATATAAACAATTTTAATTTATTAGTATTTTTGTTGTTTAGTTCTGTGTAATATTTAATATCTCTCATAATTTTCAGTTGGTTTATTTTTTATTTAAAGTTTTTAAAATGTTTTTTAATGATTTTATTTAATTTCTTTATCTTTTAATTAGAATATTTTTAAGTTATATTTATTATGTGATGTTATTTTAAAAAGTTTTGAGAATTTCACATTTCATAGTTTTATTATATTCAATGTGTTTCTCTTTAATTTAGCCCTTAGTAATTTGCTAACTGTATTTATGACCTCAGTAATGACAGAAACGTTTTTGTTCTGCAGGTTTGGGGTGAATAAGGTGGAGGAGTTGCTGCAGCCGCTTGTCAGAAACGGTTTGAAGTGTGTCCTCATTTTTGGCGTCCCGGCAAAAGTAGCAAAGGTCAGTCAAAGTAAATATGAAAAAACCCATTAATATGTGAATCAGCGACGTCTGCATCATCCCCAGTCTGGTTCCGTGTTCTGGTTCCTCCAGGATGAACGCGGTTCTGGCGCCGACTCGGACGACACGCCCGCCATTCTGGCCATTAAAAAGATCCGCAGTTTGTTCCCGGAGCTGCTGGTGGCGTGTGACGTCTGTCTGTGTCCCTACACCTCCCACGGACACTGCGGTCAGCGTCCACTTCCTGTTGCGTCCTTACAGACGATCTGCTTCCTGTCTGACTTCTTCCTTCTTCTTCTTCTCAGGCATCCTGAACGAGGACGGCTCCCTGAACAACGACGCCAGCTGCCTGCGGCTCGCCGAAGTCGCTCTTTCTTACGCTCAGGCCGGTAAAGAGAAACCTCCGACCCAACATGTCTGAACCGAACCTGAAGCGAAGTCGTTTTAACCGGAGCTGAACTTCCTGTGCAGGCTGCCACATCATCGCTCCGTCTGACATGATGGACGGACGGATCGGAGCCATCAAACAGTCTCTGCTGTCCAACGGTTTGGGGAACAAGGTGAAGCTCTGCAGCAGGAACATTTCTTAGAAACACAACATCAGTTTGTTTGACTCCATGTTTCTGTGTTTGCAGGTCACAGTGCTGAGCTACAGCGCAAAGTTTGCTTCCTGTTACTACGGTCCGTTCAGGTGAATTCAGCATCAGAACCAATTAACTTTTGTTTTCCATTTTTGTTTTTCTTCTCATTTTAAAAACATTTTTTTCTTATTTTAAAAAGAGAAAACAAGACATGGATTTATTTTCTCTTCTTTTCCTGTTTTGTTTTCGTTTTTCTTTTTGTATTTTATTTTTTTTTCCATTTTACTTTTTTCTTCTGCATGGCTTTTTTTGTCTTATTTTTTCTATTTTGAAGAAAAAAAGAAATAAAAACATGGAGTTCTTTTCTATTCTAGTTTCTTTCTCTTTTCCTTCCATATTTTTCTCTTGTATTCATCCAGCTAATCGTTCTTTCCTGGCGTTTCTAATTCTGCCTCTTGTTTTGCGTTCTGTAGGGACGCGGCCCAGTCAAAGCCCGCGTTTGGAGACCGGCGCTGCTACCAGCTTCCAGCCGGCGCCAGAGGCCTGGCGCTGCGAGCCGTGGTGGGTTTTCCTGTCCGGTTCTGTCTGAACACAGCCGGTGAGGCTGACCTCTGGCTGACCTCTGGCTTTGTGCTCATCAGGAGCGAGACGTGAGGGAAGGAGCCGACATGCTGATGGTGAAACCGGGCCTGCCGTACCTGGACATCATGAGGGAGGTGAAGGACAAGGTGAGCAGACGAGCTTTTCAACATTTTTGTGTATTTAATTTTTTATGTATTCAGCCATTAATCCCTCCATCTGTTTATCAAGTCACCTGTTCATCCACATTTATCATCTGTTTTCATTATTACTGTCTTTATTTTCTGACATGTTTTTCTGGGTCCTTCCTGCAGTTCCCCTACCATCCTCTGGCGGTGTATAACGTGTCGGGGGAGTTCGCCATGCTGTGGCACGGAGCGAAGGCCGGAGCGTTCGACCTGCGGGCCGCTGTGATGGAGGCCATGACGGCGTTCCGCAGGGCAGGTGAGGTGGAAGAACCCGTCTGTTGACAAACTGAGGGTTTCATTTAGAGGATCTGGTTGAAATAAAACAGTCAGTGGTTTATAAAACCACCAGTCAGGTAAACTGGCAGCCTTTGGGTTTCTACCAACTCTAGAGACTGAAAAGACTCTATAATCCTTAAGGTCCTAGATTTGTCTCCTAAGGTTCTTTGGTTTTTGAGTTCAGCTGTTGGTTTCACCTGAAGGCGCTGACATCATCATCACCTACTTCACACCTGAGCTGCTCACCTGGCTGAAGGAGTAAGGGAGTCGCTCTGACTGAGGGAAACGTCGTAAAACTGGAACCAACTCCTTCCTGGACCGTCTGATCTCCAGACTGGGCTGCAGTTCTGCTTCATGGCCCGGAAACTAGTTTCTGTTTTCAGCTGCTGAAGCCATGATGTACTGAGAATGTAGAAACATATTTTAGTTTTTTAGCCTAGCGTGTCGCCGCTGCTTTAAACTAGATCATGAATCAGATAATTATGACATGTTTATGTAAGAGAAAATAAAATTAATTCTGATCTTACAGCTGATTTTTATTAATTATGTTCTTTATCTGTTATAAAGAATAAAATATATCAAACTAATGTAATGTTTAATCAAGTTTTTATGGAAACTGATCCCTTTTTTAAAAATAAATTTTTCTGATATTTCTATTATTTTACTGGAAGATTTTTAAATTCCTTACATTCTAAATCGGATTTATACAACGGCATATTACAGTCATTGCAGAGAGAAAGAGAAACAGGTTTTATTTCAAAAATCTCAAATTGAAAAGTTGAAAATGTGCTTAAAACAATCTTTGAAATTAATTTGTCTAAAAATTAAAAAAAAATTCTAACAGATGTTTGACTTTTCAAACTCAGAACTTTCCAAGTTTTCTGAGCTGATTTGCCAGAATTTTGCTCCTTTTTTTTCTATCTCCAATACTCCATCATACTTTTAGATTTCTGATTATCAAGGATTATTAGATTAAGAAAAAGAGTGATTCCATCTGCCACCACAAGAGAGCAGCGTTGCGCCATGTTCCAGGGAACAGCTCATTTTTTTCGTTCTGTTATTTGACACAAAGTGACTGACTAGTGTAAAGTTGTGGTCACATTTTTCCTGTATCATCCATCCATCCATTATCCATCTGTCCATCCATCTATCATCCATTCATCCATCCATCCATCCATTCATCCATCCATCCATCATCCATCCATTCATCCATCCATCCATCATCCATCCATCCATTCATCCATCCATCCATCATCCATCCATCCATTCATCCATTCATCCATCCATCCATCATCCATCCATCCATTCATCCATCCATCCGTCGCCTCTGATGCTGTCGTATTTCCTCTGACTGCATGGAAAGGTGTCGGGACGGTTTTCCAGAACCAGCAGCTGAAACCCGATGATCCATTCAGTTCTGTTCATCCGGAAAGATGAAGAGGCTGCAGGCGGATCTGGAGGAGGAAGGGAGCTTCACTCCCAAACTGACCTCTGACCTTCTGCAGGAAAACATTTGACTCGTGTATAGAGCCCTGTAAAAAAGTTACTGGTACAAATTAAACTTTCTTCACCTTATTTATTAGTTATCACAACAAAAAAATATATTTTTAAATTTAGCTGCAAACTAAATGCCAATTAAATGTTTAGTTTGAAACTGTGAAAAATAATCCCATTATTCAAATTATTGCTGTTAATTTTTGCTGGCTTGCCTTTACAAACGGGACTTCAGAGTTCTTACTGTTTACACTTAAACTAAACTCCCAGGATGAACTAAACTTAGTTCAAAACATATTCATGTGTTAGAATGGCCTAGTCAAAGCCTAAATTTTAAAGAATTGAAAAAAAGTGTTCATTTTTCATCCAGTTTGACTGAGCAATTGTTATTTTTGCTTTTTGCACTGCAACTGGACCAAAAAGTGGTCAAGATTTTTTATTCTTTCGTCAAAAATGTTGAAAACATTTATTTTTCCTTCCAGTTACATTTACGTAACTCTTTGTGTTGGTCTTTTGGCGCAACCAGGCCGCCAGGGGGTGATTTAACTGGACTTTTTTACTTTTATAAACTGATTTTTATTTAATTTAGTTCTATTTATTTGTTTACTTGCGCACTGTAAAGATAATGGCTGTTTAGTGTTTATCAAACATTTTGGATTATTGAGACATCAGCAGAAGTTTGCCATCTGATCTGGTAAATACTTCTTATCTGTAGAGCGCAGTGAGCGCGCAGTGGCTCGGACGGCGCCGCCGTGTATTTTTTACAGTGTGTGACGTGTGCAGGGGGCCGAGCAGAACCAGGCTCTGATTTAACTTACAGTCATCCGGCTGTGAGTTATCACTCTGGGAGAGGCCGTCACTGTGGGGTCCGCGCTGCGCTGCGCTGGGAAATACTACAGCTTCACTCACCGTGGATTTACGCAGCGGGGACGCATGGCACAGCCGCGCTCACGCCACCGGGCGACGACTTTACTGAGTTGGTGCCACTTGTGAAGGCGCGCGCGGGTCGAGTTCGGGGTCTTTATGGTGCGGGGTGACTGAGGGGAACCTCTCCAAGCTGTGCGCACTGAGATGGGGCGCAGAGCCGCGACGGGCTGCTGCCTGCTGGCCGCGCTCTGCCTCCTCCGCGGCTGCTGGAGCGACATCACGGTGGCGGTGATGCTGCCGGACAACTACAGCATGTACGCGTGGGCTCTGCCGCGCGTGCTGCCGGCCATCCTCATGGCGAAGGAGGATCTGCACGGGAAGCACAACCTGCTGCTCGGCCACGACATCAACATCCTGAACTACAGCACGCAGGACCCCGCCGCGGGCTCGTGCGCAGAGAGCCGCGCGCAGGTGCTGGCCGTGGACGCGAAGCTCTACGTGCGCCCGGACGTCTTCTTCGGACCCGGATGCGTGTACCCGCTGGCCTCCGTGGCGCGGTTCGCGTCCCACTGGAAGCTGCCGCTGATCACCGCGGGCGGCCCCGCGTACGGGTTCGACGCGCGGGAGGAGTACCGGACCATCGTGCGCAGCGGGCCTACCACCACCAAGATCGGGGACTTCATCAACGCGCTGCACACGCAGTTCAACTGGACGACGCGCGCCGTGGTGATCTTCTACGACCAGCGGCAGGACGACCGGCCGCACTACTTCCTGTCCGAGGGGATCTACCTGAACCTGAAGCATGAGATCAACGTGACGGTGGAGGCGCGGCCGTACCAGAAGGAGCAGGACCACAAGGAGCTGGTCGGCTTCATGAAGGAGAGCGGCCGGAGTAAGAACCATCCATGTTCACTGGAAATCATTCATAACCGATTAATCGGATCAATGCGTTAATGTCCTCAACTAATTTGGTCACGATTCATCTACAGACTCTTAAAAAGGCATTACACCAAAACTGTACAAACATTTAGGATTTAACACAAATAACTTTAAATGATTAATCAATCTATTTTTCAAATAATCGTCAACTAATTCAGTAATCAATTAACTCCAATATGCAGACTCTCAAATGGCAAATTGCTGAAAGACCAACATACAAAGTGCTGTAATTATGGCAAAACTGTACAAAAATGTAAACATTTTGCATTAAGCACAAAAACATTCTTTATTTGTAGATGTTGTTCCCAGAACTCCTCAAGTGACAGTTTTAGCTTCACCTAAAACAAATCTTTTAAGCAACTGTTGCTGTCCAATTATTCATTGATTAATCCAGACATACTTACCATGTATTGAAAAGTCAAGCATAAAAGCTGAGCTGTTGATTTTAAAAGTATTTTTTAGCTGCAGATGCATCTTTTGCTACAAATAATGAAAGTATGAATCAGTTTATCCATTCTAGGGTTGAAATGTTTAATAAAATTAATGATTAATCGTGATTAAGTCATTATTCAAACAGTCGTCAACAAATTTAGTAATTGATTAACCGTCAATTTGAGCATACAAACTCTAAAAAGACCAATTGTTCAGAACAGTAATTATGCCATATTGTATAAAAATATATACATTTTGTATTAAGTTAAGTTTATTTTTATAACGTATTTCAGCAATAATCATAAAAACAACACTTAGTTGTCAATTATGAAACAAGACATGACATCATCAAAGTCATCAAGCAAATACACATCAAATATGTTGATTCCAGTTCCTACAAATCAACTGCAGCTCTAAACATGTCAGCCTTGATTTAAAGGATCTCAGTGTTTCAGCTGATTTGCAGTTCTCTGGGAGTTTGTTCCAGATTTGAGAAGCTATGAAGACACTACTGTCTAGTGGTTAATGCGTCTAAATATTAACGTATCGATGAGTTTCTCTACATCCTTTCATCCTGGCTTCAGGTGACAGAAGGCTGGCTTTATAACTGTCTTTATGAAGCTCTGAAGGTTCAGATCAGAGTTCATCACTGACTCATCTCTAAGTCTAAAGATAAAAACTTCAGTTTTGTTTCTGTTCTGCTGGAGAAAGTTATGGCTCCTTCACACATTGAATTAAAAATGTTTCGTGTTTGTAAATCGATTCAACTCAGAACTTTTCCGAACGGCGGCTTTAGAAAAAAAATCTCCCATTAAACACCTTTTGCTATCTAATGATTAATTTGTTAATTAAAATGTAACTTTTTGAATTCTAGGCAATAAAATGTTTATTTGAATCTTTTAATGTATTTGTAATATTGTATTAAGTGGTTAAATGTAAAATACCCAACAATTGATCAATCGATTAATCACCTGAATTGTCGATTAATCGGTTACTAAAATAATCATTAGTTACAGGCTTAATCCATCCGTCCGTCCGTCTATTTGTCCATCCATCCATCCATCCATCCATCCATCCATCCATCCATCCATCCATCCATCCATCCATCCATCCATCCATCCATCCATCCATCCAAAAATCCATCCATCCATCCATCCATCCATCCATAAATCCATCCATCCGTCCGTCCGTCCGTCCGTCCGTCCATCTCCATCCATCCATCCATCCATCCATCCACCCATCCATCCATCCATCCATCCATCCATCCATCCATCCATCCATCCATCCATCCATCCATCCATCCATCCATCCATCCATCCATCCATCCATCCATCCATCCATCCATCCATCTCTAGTTCTTTCATCTCTGGCCCGTTTCCTAAATGCTGATGTAAATTAATTCGTCTTTGACTCTCCAGGTCAGAATCAGGTTTTTCCAGGCGGTCAGGACTCGGTCCGGTGGGAAGCCTGTTTTTTCCAGGGTTATTACTCAGGAATGTCTTCAGGCTGTGCTGCTGCTGCTGCTGCTGCGGGTTTAGCGCCTGTGGAGGATCGCCACATGGGAATGAGAAGCTGTCATTAAATCTGTTCCCTGACAGCCAAAAACAAGCCGCATGTTGTTCACATTCGAACAAAGAACATGGAGACCGTGAGCAGATTTGCTGATATTTAATTAATCTGGAAAACAAAACAAAATCCCTTCAACTTGCTTACAACTGGTGCTGTTCCAACAGCAATTTATGGGTAATTTTTTTATCAATATTTCATGACAGATCACCACAAAGTGAGGCTGGAATGATTAATTGTGATTAATTGATTATCAAAAATAATCATCGGCTAATTTAGCAATCAATTAATCATTAACTGGAGTAACAAAAACAAGAAAAACATTTTCTTCAAAGTTCACCACTACAAGGAGTGTCAAATCTCCATAACAACCATTCAATGATAAGAAAACCAGGAGTGTCAGTGTGGCCTAGTCAAAGTCCAGACTCAAATCCAGTTGAGAAGAATTAAAAAGTTGTGTTCCCAGCTGCTCTCCACTCAATGTGGCTGAGTTTGATCTATTTTGAAAAGAAGGATGGACTAAACACTAAAAATACTAGGGCTGAAATGATTAATCAGATTAACTGCGATTAATTAATTATCAAAATAATCGTCAGCTAATTTAGTAAACAATTAATCATTGACTAAAGTATACAGAATCAAAGAAGGCCATTTGTTGAAACAAAAACAATATTTTTATGCAATTAAAAGACGCAAATAAATAATTCAGTTATTTTTCTAAATAAGAAAATAAACATTTTATTGCAAAATGTGAATCTAAACCTGGTGAATTTTTCAGTTATACCATCTGAGGAGTTTTAGATAAAACATATTTACAGACAAATGCAAAATGTAAATATTTTTGTACAGTTTTGGCTTAATTATTCCAGTGAACATGTTTTTTTCACCAACGAACCTGTTGAAGTTGGAATATTCCAGTTAATGATGAATTGTTTCTAAATTAATTGAAGATTATTTGAATGATCAATTAATCACAGTTAATTTGATTAATCGTTTGAGCCCTTTGGAAGAGTTCATGTTTAAGTTAGTGATTGCTCAAGTCTTGTATCTGCAAAACAAGTCCAAGTTCAACACCCAGTTAACGATTAATCGATAACGAAATGAGGAGACAATTATCTCAATAATTGATTAATCGCAATTCATTGTGATTAATCATGTTTAATCATGATTAATCATCAATTAATCACAATTAGTCATGTTTTCAATCATAGCGGAGTGAATTTAAAAGGATTCATGTCATGAATTTAGCTCAGTTTGTTTGTGTATTTCCTAACAGAAACGTCAGAGCAACCTTTGCAGGAATATTTATGTTTTTGCTGCGACGATTTGTCTTGGAAAGCTCGAGGAGCGAAGATGTGCCGCTGACAGCTCAGAAAACACTCGGGCCGCGGCTGTTTTTGGAAAGCTGGCCACAGATGATATGTTTGGACTGATTATATCCCGTTTGGATTTAATCCGATAAGGGGAATGTTTGCTCAATCACCTGTTTATATTAGGAGTTCATCGCTTTTTGTTGTTGTTTTATAACGTTTTTATATTTTCACTGGTTCTTGTAGTCAGTGGTAGTTCGTAGAGGTCTTGTGGACACGTGAATCTCATGATGCAGGAAACATCTGGAGGGAATCACTGTTCACTTCAGAGCAGAATGTGCTCCCAAATAGTAAATACTGCCGCATTTCCGTAAAGTAATTCCTGGGAGACTTTATCTGTTGGTTGAACAACACGGACGAAATCAAAAGGCGATTCTGACCTCCCTCGTTCGGGAATTAGGGGGCAGGAGGTCATGTGAGCTAATGGCTTTGCCAGGGCTTGTCAGGGCTTGTCCGGCCTCACCACTGGGCTCACTCTTCACACCAGAAACATCCCGCAGGCGGTTGGGGTTACTCCACAAGAAAAGGGAGGAAAAGTGAAGGTTTCAGTGGGAAAACAAACAACAGCGAACATTTAAAGACTCTGCTCATATTGTGTTTGTTTCCCTCTTTAAAGAGGCAAATAAAGTATTGTGAGCAGGATTGAAACAAAGGGACTCCTGGTTAACGAAATGGGCAAAATGGCTCTCCACTCAGGGCGCTCTTCAATCCGGGGGGCAGCACAAGAAATCAAACAACAAAATCTGGTTATTAAATGATCACTGACTTTTTTATTGGTGTTTGAATTTTTGTGTTCCTTCATTATTGCTCAACAGGGTTTGCCATATTCAGTTCATTGGTATTGCTTTAAATGTCTTTGTCTTTATTTATTCTTATGTTTTTCTCTTTGTTCGCCAAGGTTAATGATACTCAATTTCTCTCCCCCAACATAAAGTAGTTGAATTATTTAATTTATAAGTAATATTATATTTAATAGAGATGCGCCAGAAAAATATATTTTTACAGAAACTGATGTTTATTAAAATGTACAGTATTTTTTTTAATGACAAATGTCTAATTTTGAGAGTTGAAAGACAATCTAAAACATTAATAAGGCCTTAAATATATTTTTACATATATAATGGTTAAATAAATGAAATTAATTAGTTTCATTCTTATTATTACTCAAATTTGATATTAGTAATCAAAATATCTTAAATTTCAACTCTCCTTTGCCCACATTGATATTATCTATTTGTAATATAAAGTGCTGTCAAAGAAAAGAGTGAGAATAGAAAGTATTTTTTCAAGAGCACCAATAAAAATAAAAAAGCTGCAGAATCTCTTCTAAGAGCTGTAAAAACCACAGCAGGCTGCAGATTCCTCCCTTTCTGTCCAGTTTGTTCTGTGCATTAGTGGTTTGCAGCTCACAGTGGGAGACAAAGAGTCACGGCTCAGGCTCACCTCGTTATAATCACTGAAATCCTGCATAACCTGCACGCTGTTTTTACACATCCAGTTTGTAAATCGCGGAGTTTCTCATGTTCTCACAGAGAAACCTCCTCAGGTTAGATGTAATCTGCCTCGTCTGGAGGGAAAAACAGAA